CCCCGGTTAAGGTTATTATAATGATTGTTGGTAAATTGGATATTGTGGTATTGTTGTGGATTGTACAAACTCGATGCGTTAGGTACTGAAATACGCGTTTTGGCCGACATTTTTCCGCGTTTGGACGGCTGTTGTGAGCCACTGCAGGTTCAGAAAAATCTGACCCGCGCTCATCAACACGGCCGTGTTGTTTAACACGGGCACCCGTGTTGATGCACTGTGTTGCCAAAAATTGTGTTTTCTGGACACAATTCAACACGCCCGTGTTGTTTAACACGGGCACCCGTGTTGATCCCCTGTAATGAGAAAAAAAGGTGTTTTCTGGACACAATTCAACACGGCCGTGTTGTTTAACACGGGCACCCGTGTTGATGCTGCTGTGTTGAATTTCTGAATTTTGTTTTCTGTGTTTTATTGTGGATTTTATTGCCATGCTTTTAGATATGTTATCAAGCATGAAGTATGATATGATTTGATGTGATTGGTTGATGTTTAAATAGTATGCTGAGTGTTTACATGCTATCTGTATCTTGATATGATTGATGTTTGATAGTATGCTGAGTGGTTACATACTATTCATATCATGTGATGTTTGATATTGTTGATGTGCATGATATGTTGAATGATGTTCATAGTATGCTGAGTGTTACATACTTACATATCATGTTGCATTTGTTAATTCCCATTGTGTGGAATTAACATGGTGGCCAATATACGTGTCCGCGATATAATGGAACGTTGAGGTGGTAGCCGTGTCCGCGATATAATGGAACGGTGAGTTATCCGTGACCCGCGATTTAATGGGGCGGTGAAGTGGTACCACATGCATGGGTGTGTTGCATTACTCGAATATAACATGAATGGATGATTTTTCCAATGTTATATTGATTGTTTGTATGCACATGTGATTGATATATGGTTGATGATGTTTGATGGATATTTGCAATTATGAAAAGCAATATGTCATGGATATATGATTTGTAAAGGTTTTGTAAACTATGAAATATGTTAATTATTGGGTGATGCTTATGATTTCGTGAATTGATTGTTATGAATGTATAACCAAATGTATATTTGAGAAGCTCACCCTTACTGTTGAATATTTCAGATTGAGGAGCTTCGCTCAGGTGCTTGGCGAAGGCTTATCGTGTCTAATTTAGTTTTGTTCTAGTATGTCCGGGTCATGCTCTGATAGTTGTAACTCTGGGAACGTTTGGTTGTCGAGCTGCTTTAGTCAGACTCATTTATTCCTTTATTTGTTATAATATGATGTTGACTTTTCCAGGTGTTAATCCCTGATGACTTTGGAAATTATTATAACAATTGATTTTATTGAATAAATTATTCCGCTGTGTAAACATGTATGAGTTACTGCTAAAAATTATGCATGACAGGATTGTTTTAATAGAAGAGAATTGTGACATCCTCGATTATACATGTACTCTGAAAATATGATTTTTATTTAAATTGCGAAAATTATATGTGGGGTTTTAGAGGGTGTTACAGTTAGTCCTATTGTTATCCCTACTACCGAGTTAGCCGAGACTCCGGGAAAAGAGGTATTGGATGAGCCTGTCCGGACGAAGGCACATCCAGAAGCCATCCCCGAGGATTCTAAAAAGGAGATGGAACATATATTGAAAATAATCAAGAAGAGTGACTACAATGTGGTTGAACAATTAGGGCAGACCCCTTCCAAAATCTCAACGTTGGCCCTATTATTGTGCTCTGAAGCCCATGCCAAGGCTTTAGTGAAATTCTTCAAGACTGCTCACGTGTCTCAAGAAACCTCCGTTGATCAATTTGAAGACTGTGTGGTCAGTTTGACTACTGACAATGGGCTGGGTTTCTTTTATGCCGATCTGACTCCCAGAGGAAGGAAACATAATCACGCCCTACACGTCTCTATCGAGTGCAAGGGAACTACTTTGGCCCATGTTCTAGTGGATACAGGTTCATCACTAAATGTTCTTCCCAAGAAGGCCTTGACAGGTTAAATTGTGAAGGATTGACTCCGAAGCCTAGTAACATTATGGTGAGAGCCTTCGACAGTTCTAAAAGAATGGTGCATGGGGAGGTGAACACCTCTATCAAAGTGGGTACTCAGAATTTTAATTCCACTTTCTATGTGATGGACATGCGCTCGTCCTACTCTTGTTTATTGGGTCGACCCTGGATCCATGGGGCTGGCGCTGTGACTTCCACCCTACATCAAATGCTAAAGTACCCAGTCAATGGGAAGATTATCACAGTTCATGGGGAAGAGGAGTACATGGTGAGATACCCGAACTCTTTCAGGTACATTGAAATGGACGGCGAGTTCATTGAAACCCCCTGTCAAAACTTTGAGAAGGTTCCACAGACCGTTACTACAACCAAGACCACTGCTAGTGTTCCAAAGACTACTAGGCCTCCGTTGAAGATGGCTTCTCTCAAGAATTCCAAAGCAGTAGTTGAGGAAGGTGGGTGTATAATTTGGGGCCAAATTCCGGATATTCCCTACAAATATGACAAATTTGGTTTGGGTTTTACTTTAGAAGCCCAGAGAGGTGTTCGTCATGCTCACACCGGGGAACCACCTTTGTAGATAAGCAACCATGGAGTTAATGCCCTGGAAGAAAATGACAGTGACCATGACCTGGACAAGTGGATCTTCCCAACCATCAGCGGTGGACTCAGCAATTGGGAGGCTAAAGACTTTGTGCCTATTACTTTTGTTCAAAAGTAATTTGTCTTTTTTTGTTTTAAGGAAATGTAATATTTGAACAAATGAAACATTAAAGCCTTGTGTCTTACCTGAGGCACAATGGTCTATTTGTGAGGGTCATTGTTTCATTTTCATATTTCATCAATAAAACATTGGACGTTTCACATGCAAATTTTATGCTCTTTGTTTTTCTTTTCTGCTTCTTTACCTTATCAAAAATATACAGCTATGCTCTTACACACACTCACAAAACAAATTGCAGATCCACATTTGGATCCCATTGATAACGGTTCTGCTATTTCTCATTATGACTTTGAAAATCTGATCTACCAAGCCAAGGACGAAGGTGAGGAATATTCTGAGATACCTGGAGAGCTTTCTAGACTGTTACAACAGGAAGAAAACGCAATACAACCTCATGAGGAGCCAGTTGAGACAGTAAACTTGGGTACTGAAGGGGACAAAAAAGATGTCAAGATAGGTGTCGATTTGGAACCCAGTGTCAAACAGCGGTTAATACAGATGCTACATGACTATGTTGAGGTTTTTGGTTGGTCGTACAAAGACATGTCGGGACTTGACACCGATATTGTGGTTTATCACATACCAACAAAAGAGGATTTCCCTCCAGTGAAATAAAAGGTTCATCGTATGTGGCTGGATATGTCAGAAAAGATAAAGGCTGAAGTCATGAAATAGTTTAATGTCGGTTTCTTAGCTTTCACGTCTTATCCAAAATGGGTCGCTAATGTTGTTCCAGTGCCTAAGAAGGACGGTAAGGTACGTATGTGTGTAGATTACAGAGACCTGAACAGGGTAAGCCCCAAGGATGACTTCCCGCTTCCCCACATCGATGTTCTGGTTGACAACACCGCACATCATAAGATCTTCTCCTTCATGGAGGGTTTCTCCGGATACAATCAGATCAAAATGGCACTTGAGGACATGGAGAAGACGACCTTTGTCACACAGTGGGGAACTTTCTTCTACAAAGTTATGCCATTTAGACTAAAAAATGCCGGGCAACTTATCAACGTGCCATGGTAGCTTTGTTTCATGATATGATCCATCACGAGTTATAGGTCTACGTGGATGATATGATAGCCAGGTCTCAAAGTGAAGAGGAACACCTTGATCACCTATAAAAACTATTTGACCAGTTGAAGAAATACAAACTGAGGCTAAATTCAAATAAGTGCACTTTCAGAGTAAGATTCGTTAAGCTCTTAGGCTTCTTTGTTAGCGGAAAATCTATTGAGGTAGACCCGACAAAGGTTAAAGTAATACAAGAAATACCAACTCCTCACACTAAGAAGGAAGTTAGGGGATTCTTGGGACGTCTGAACTACATTGACAGGTTCATTTCACATCTGACCGCTGCTTGTGAGCCAATCTTCAAATTACTGAAGAAAGATCAAGCAGTGAAGTGGAATGACAATTTCCAGTATGCTTTTGACAAAATCAAAGAATATCTCCAAGAGCATCCAATTATGATACCTCTGGTTGAAGAAAGACCTCTGATCATTGTTGCACCCCAAAATTTTCCCCCATAATTTCTCTTATTCTGGTTTAGACTTCGCATTAATCTGCATCATTCCAATAGTTCATGTGCATAGCATTCATTTCAAAGAATGAAGCATCTGATGGTTCAAAAGATCAGCAATTATGAAGCTAGGATTTTACGACTGACTAAGGTGTATATGTTCAATAAAGCTTGATTCTTCTGGTTATCCTTCACGCAATGGAATGTAAAATTAGGGTTCATTTCACTACGTACTTCATGAAATTAGGGTTGTATCACTGGGACGTCCCACTATGTTTCTAGTTTCATCTGATTCAAGGTATTTCCTCAAGAAATATGATCACTTCATGCCATGGATTCAATGCGATCAAAATTCTTAAGAGGAAAACATGATTAATAAGGAAAGTTCGTGATTTTGAGATCATATGGATTTGAGTTGCAAAAGTTGTGTCGACGCTTTAAATACTCAGAACTTGTTCAAGACTTTATTCGAAAGTTCAAAGGCATCCTCATTCCTTCAAATGTTTGTCATTTTTCATACAAGGGTGAATTGAATTAGAGGGTCGTAAATATACGAGTAATTCTTTCATGTGTCATTTTGGATTGCAATACAAGTGGACTTGTAATCATGGAAGGGTTCTCATTGGAGAATTCGCTCATAGTGATTCTAAATTCAATCATTGTTCGTAAATCAAAAGGTTTCATACAAATCATCATTAAAAGTTATTTCAAGTTCATCCAAAAGGCTTCATAATCATACAAATTTCATCCATGTTTCTCTTTAGAATTACAAATTGCAAGTCGTATTGCCATTACATTTTTGAGAAATTACAAAGAAAGGGTTATATATCCATCGTAAGCCTAAGTGTTCCTTAAGATGTTATAGCTTATCAAAAGACTGGCTGCCAAATCCCATTCAAGCTTGTTCCATACCTATGAAACCTTTCTCATCCTTCTTGCGTGATCCAACCTGCTATGATGAGAAGGCCCTGCAATTTTCAAGAATAAATTCAATACCAAACTGACAGTAGCTTGATTATGTTCACATAACATGTTGTAATCTGTCAAAACTATGCCACTTCTATTAATATATGGCAGAAAGTTAATTACCTATCTTTCTCGACAAATTTCAAGCTCTCCAAAGCTGCAGTATCCTCACTCTCCATCTTATATTCAGCTTCACAAATGTCCAACAACTTGAATCTCTTCATCCATAACAAATTCTCGTCATTCTCCAGGCCTCTCTTCATTCTCCATATTCATCGCTATCGTCGTCTCGTGAAACAAGAAAAAGAAGGTGGTTAGCAAACAAAATTTGAGTATAAACAAGATAGTTTCAAAGAATTTTTTTCCAATTTCATTATTAGGGTTTGATTGAAGGAATCAGTTTGTGGTTTAAGGAATTCTCTTTCGCAAGTTGAATAATAGAGCCTCATATCCATTTTTTTCATAACAAAAAATCAGATGCAAGTAATCATGGGCCTAATTCCATCCTACTGCAAATCTCAAGCAAGTACAAAAAGAATGTTTGGTTCACAATAGGACAAACTCAAGAAGAGGCAAATTGTTACGCACAAAAGACCCATCAAATATCACAGTGCACATCAATAGCAAACAGGCCAACATAAATTCTACATCCCAACCCAAGTAAAGCTACTGCAGTAATGGATTCTCAGGAAATTAACAAGTGCAAACAGATCATGAATTCAAGCTCAATAAACAGAATTGTAACCAAAATAAAAAATTATCATAGAAAAGGGAGCTATCAAGCATACGAAATCCTAACAGGTCGTCATCATCTTCCTACTCAAATTCCCTTCAGAATATAGAGAAACAGAAGAGGAAGAGAAGTTTTCGAAAAAGTTAGAATCAGAAAGATATTATCGGGAAGAGCCTCAGTTATTGGTATTCTACCGCGAGCTTGATAAACCCATTACCTCGTTACTTCTCTTACAGTCATGTCCTCTTCATCATCAGTTATATGTTGAACATGCGTATCATTGAAACTCAAACCTACAGCCTGCATCATTAAAGTAAGAAGAAAAACCTACAAGCATAAATCATACAAAGCCTCAAATCCAATACACTTGATTTTTAAGACATTATCTATTCAATATGCAGAAATTCACAATCCACGGAAGCCCTGCGTCCGCATCTCAGTTCAGAAAATGCCATAGTCCTAACATGAATTAGAACTCAATATACATTCTCGGTCCAACCGAGTCATGCTTTTCCATTGCAATATGCAAGTCATGAACACTCTGATTTCTATCCTTCTTGGAGCCAAATTTCGAAAGAACAGAAGCAATCAGGCAGTGTTCACGAGTTGTTTCCCAAATAATTACATCAACTTTGGCAGCATAACCACTAACTACAATCACCACATCCTAATGTTTGTTTACAGTAGAAGGGAATATCCAAAGCAAATTAGCAAAACCCAGGACCAAAGTCAGCCTACAAAAATCCAAATAACCAAACCAGTTCTGATAACCTGCACAAAAAAATAGGGGGGTTTGAATTAGAGATTAAAGGGAAATTATGGGAAGCGTGGCAGACAAGGTTCACCTCACAACTCAAAGCAGATTTTCGGATTTCAAGAACATTCCAATTGAAACTAACTGTTTATAACTAATAGAATCCCAGCTCAACAGCTAACAAACTTTAACGAATTGCTCTTACCACCTCTATAACAGAATGTAACTAACTATAACATAAACTAACAGAACTCTCTCCAATTTCCTAACTTACTACCTATCACAACTTCCAACTAACTTTCCAATACAAAATCGTAACAAACTCTAACTGTTGCTAACAAATGATCCTAAATCTATGAAAAGAATTACATAATCCCATAACAGAATTGTCACTAATTTCCTAACTGCTAATTCAAAATCTCCTAACCAAATGTAACTGCACTAACAGATTTCAACAAAACCTCAACAGAAAACATAATTATAACTAATCTCTAACTGATTAATCACCACCATCAGATTCTCTATCTGATTCCTCTCATCCAATGGCCATGTTTCAATTCCCTCTAACTAACTTCTTCTTCATTATCCCTATATAATACCCTTCATCGGGTTTAGTAGGGGGGTCCTCAATTCAACCTTCGTATTCTCTTCATTCTTCAACTCCTACCCTCACCTTTAACCTTCGGATTATCTTCATTCCTCAACTTCCACTCTCATCTTCTTCTTCTACCTTCACCTTCTTCTGCTACCTTCTTCTCTCAATTATACGACCTTCTCCTCTCAAATTCTACAACCTTCACTCCTCAACCATCTTTTAACCTCTGTAGCACCTCAACTCACTCTTATCGCGCATCAACGCTTCGTACCACAATCACCACGCATTCTCTGTAATACTGATTTCTTAGTGTTCTGGTTATTCGCTCTCATCAGAAAATGGCAGGTCAAGAAAATGTAGCAAAAAAAGAAGAAGAAGAAGAAGAAGAATCGAGGAAATAAGATTGAGAGAGGTTTGGAAATCAAGGAATCGAGTAACACACGCTTACCTGCAATTATGAAGATCACTCTCTGGTCTTCTTGTCGTCTTCACCGCGTCTGAACACCGCCGGAGTGTCTCCGGCAGGTATGCCTCAAGCTCCTCCATTTCTTCATCGTTTTACCATTTCTTGATGTTGTTGAAAAGCTTAACGCCTACTGAAAAATCATCCTATTGTTATAACATCAAATTCAACATGATTTTTGGTTAATTTCGTCCTTTTTCTTTGCTTAGGGTTTCGATTTATTACGGTAAAATATTTGTTGTAGCTTAGAAATAAGAGAGAGCAAGATTAGGGTTTGAATTCAGGGAGAAGAGGGGAATCTCGAAAGGTTAGCATCGTCCCTTTCTTCATGGAGAAGTGTCGCCGGAGGCGATGGCAAGCGGTGTTGTTGGTTTAATACTAGGGTACGAAAGAGATGAGAAAGATCAACCTTGGGTAAGGATACCTATTCGTTGGGCCATGGTTCACTATCCTAAAGCCCAGTAGCAAAATGTTAAGCTCTCAGTCCTTTTTTTAGCATGTTAAGAAATTTTTTTTTCCAGAATAAATATGTCTTTTGGGCTGTGATGGTTGGGCCCCCAATGTCCGATTATGAATGTTACCCCCCCCCCCCCCCCCCGCCCACCCCAGATTCAGATTTACCACCCTTGTTCCTTTTGTGTTCTCCTTATGAATCTTCTTTTAAATTTATATTTATTTCTCATTTTGTTTTAGTAACAAGAATACAAAAAAAAAACTTGGTCAAAACGGGACAATAAAAATATATATATCAGAATTTAGGATTTAAATAAATAGGAATTTATTCTCTCACTCTTACCAATATTTTTTTCTTCTTTTTAGGCGATTTTAATCACTACTTTTGATTCATTTTTTTACATTGTATATTTTTGCCACTCTTGGGAATTATCTTGGTACGAATTGTGGACGATTTTATCCTTTACGCTCTTTAAAGATTTTAGTCCAATTTTAACCTGTCGATCAAAATTGAGTCAAATAAACTTTAGGTATGTCAATTTAGGGTAGAGATTTCCCCTTAAAACTCAACCATGGAACCACCATTGTATGATAATATTAGAGATAGATTTAGGTTAGTCTCCCCTTATAGTTTTCTTTCCCCTTTTGCATTTGCATTTAAAATAAAAACTGCTTTTTCTAGCAAATTTAAAAAACACTTAAAGATTGCTGATGAGAATCATATCTTTGTTAAGTATGGGAAACGATAAGCGAGTTTCTTCTCGACCTTATTGTTCTCCGTTCTAAGCCTTGGTGTAGTTCAAGTCTCAAAGACTTATTTCATAAATAAGTGGAGAAGTGGTTAAAATCTCTCTCTTGAGGTCGATTAGTCGTTATCCACAACAAAAATACCAACAAATACAAGCTCTTTTGCCTTCGAGCCTTTCTTTCAAAACCTTTTCAAAAGGACAAGTTAATTCACTTCTTTGCTGACGCGTAAGTCTCCAACGGTCGAGTTGCGGCAGAAGGCAAAATTTATATTATTCATTAAAAAATACAAACCAATAAAAACTTTTGAAGCCGAACTACGGTAGCTTTGATTCCTCAAAAAGGATACGTAGGCATTGGGGTAGGGCCTAAGCGAGTACAACTTTATTTTCCCTACATACTTTTCTCCTTTCATTTACATGCATTCCTTATACAATTTAGATATAGATTCTCACACACCCTTTGATTAGAACAACAAGAGTGGATACCGTAGAGTACTACGGGCGTGTGGGGTGCAAATACCTTCCCTTTGTGTAACAGATTCCCTTACACATATCTCTCGGTCGTTTGATCGTGATTTCACCCTTCTCAGGTTTACTCGATGTTTACTTTTCCCTTCCTGTTGGATAAAAAATATTCGATGGCAACTTCGTCAATTTCATTATCAGTTGATTGTTCAGATGGTTGTTTCATCTGGCGACTTCACTGAGGAAATGTTGATCGACCTATTGCTGGTCCATCCCGGAGTCGATCCTAGATCTTATTTGTTTACCTTCTTTTCTTTGGTGTTTATGTATCTATTTGTTTATATGTTTTGATTATATGCTTTCATACATTGCATTTCATTATTTCCTGTATTCTGAATACCGCTGTTATGCTATTTCCTTATGGGGTTGGGATGATACTTCTCGAGGTAAAAGGCCGAGTACCCAGGACAGAGTGCACTAAGACACTAGGATTAGAGTGGGGGCATGGAGGCTATAGGACGTGGTCCGATTAGTGCAGTCATGTCATATACCATGCTCGGATGAGATTCAAATAAAGGTATCTTCATCATGCACATTTGTGTTGCGATGATTTTACTTTCAGGCGGATCAGTGATTTCTGAGTTACCTAGCCTTACCCTGACTTAGTCTTCACCCGTGAGTGGGGAGGGACTTGATCATTGCAGGTACAGATGGTGACTATGTCATAATGGTAACTTGGTTCTATTGGCACCCTTTTTTCTGCTAATATCTTAGATAATGACTACTATTGATGACTATCTCAAATCTTCAACCTATAAGTCTATACAGCAGTACAACGACATCCATTATTGTGGAAATTTTGATCCCCTCATGGTTACATCATAGCATACTTACTTCTAATTTTTTTTTTATATTTCAATGCTTAATTTGCATGTGCATTGTCATTTTCAGGATTCTCCAAGAGTTTTCTTCTCCTCCAAAGAATGGCAAACAACACTGATATCATCGTAAAGACCAAAAGAGATAATTTCAGCTATCAGTTTCGTCCTAGTATTTGGCCCTTCCTCGAAGAACTCAGAGATCTCATAAATTGTCAACAAATGGGT